ATACGACAAACGGGCGAATCAGGAAATTTAGTATTAGCGAAAGAACAAAATCTGTTCTGCGAGGACCACTTTCCAGAGGCTAAGAAGTTCATTGTAAGGTGGATCGGTTGATTTGTCGCAATTTCCTTCTAAAGTTCTCTTGCTGAAATAATCTCCAAAAACGCAAACTGCCTCTGTGCTTTGAGGTTAGCACTAGATAGGCGATAGGAACTGGGTATCGGAGGTGATGGCGCTCATTGTAAGCGCTTTTAAGAAAGCGAATAAGTGGGTAGAAGAGAGAAAAGAGTTTCTCTGACAGAAAGGGGGAGTAGATGCCTTTTAAAAGTGAGCGGATATATATCTCCTCTATGGTGCCTAGATCATTACCTTCATGAACAGCATGACATCAGTGATAAGAACTGATGCTCCACTACCGTACAATCATGATTCATTTGAAAACCTTATTGTAAAGAGAAGGGTAAAGGTGCACGGGGAACGGACTTAGTGCCAGCTTACTACAATCATTCCTAGGTGCCTATACCTCCAGACATTCACTCAGGCAATCTGGATAGAAACTGACGACGGGGACTCCACTGACATCGGTTGGCAGCCATACCTCGTAGTGTCTCCAACCAGACGCAGTGAGGATCACTCGGTCCCCATCCTGGAAGGCGAGTAGCACCGACAGCACCCAAACGTTTCGTGATCTCCTTCATAATCCTCTGCCAATTTAAGGTTTGGTCACCTCTCTGCTTACGGCACTCTGAGTTGGGCATGAAAAACGGCACTCTCTTCGGCAAACGATGGTTCGGCATACGTAACACATGTTCCAACCAGCTAGCTTCTGGTGCCGGACACATTCTTCAATGGAAGTACCCGTTACACAACCGAAAACACGCTTTCTAACTACCTCGTTACGGATTCGCCGACACCAACTCAGATGAGCTATGGTTCTGAGACAACGAGTGTAGAACACCTGAAGATGTCTCAGTTCCGCTGCCCGAACAGGCCAAGTCTCACACCCATACAACAAAACAGCCCGCACTGTAGCTTGATACGCACGTCCCTCGAGATTCAGGGGTGAAACACTGTGGCGCGATATCTAAGAGGAAACATATGCAATATCACCCCCGTTCCCTTCTAATAAATGAAAATCTGAAGGGTGCTAATTTGTTTTCTACTTAACAACCGAGCAACAGCGACAACTCGAGCACTCCTGTAGGAAATTTGCCCCGCACTAGTTGTCACTTAGCAGCTACCCGAGGACGGTGGATGGGATTATCTGACTGAAGTCCAATTATCACGATTCATTAATTTTCGTTTGCCAGATACAATTGGATAATCCGATATGAAAGCCCTATCCTCAGAGCCCTTGTGAAGCGTATCTGAAGATATCCTATTTCCAGTCTAGTTGGTCGCATGACTGTAAGAAAGGTAACTAAGAGGCCAATTTTTAGGACTTCTTTTAACGTGATTTGTTGAAAGGGTAGCGCCGTTTTGTAGACTTTTTGAAATATCACTGATGGGTTGTGGTTACTCTCAATACGAGGAACTTATTCTGAGTGGAAGTGAATGAAGATGCCACGGAAATCTACAATTTGAAGCTGAAATTCATGACATCATTTTACCGGTGAAACAGGCAGGACAGCGGAGCACGCGTACCTGGTGATGCGTACGCTCAGGTGTACAACTAACAGGTGACTTTTTAGAGCAAGTTTCCTGTCCGATGAGGTGTCTAGTAACTGTCACAATACCCATATGAGGAGTCCTCGTATACATTACTGAGGGCGTAAATTGTGGACGGGAGCAGGAAGTCTTTAAAATTGAGGAAAATGTTGGGATGCTTTCGGCAACCCTGCACCGACCTTCCGTCATTCTCATTTTCTGCTTGTACAACGCACTTGTGACGCAGTGATCCCTATTAGTATCGCATTCTCTTTATCTGATTCGAGAAAATTTAAGGAAAAGCGGTTTTTTCAACCTAAGCGTACAACGTCATTTAGAGGTAACAGGGATCGGGTGACCTCCGGGCCAAATTGTGTAGGTGGGGTGTTTTCAAGAAATGTCGTTGAAACGGAAAATGGAATGGAATGTCTTTTAGAACAACGTTCTGTGTTTTCATGTGGAATCAACGATCACGGGCTGCCCGTCAGCTGAAGTGGTTTGTAGGTTCCAGAAATACACTCACTTGTAAATCAATTTGGTTTTCACGAGAGACTCAACTGAATCGCTCGTTTATGCTATTCTACAACTGAATGTGCTGCACACAGGCCGCCTCATGATTCAGTTGGCACGATATTCGAGATATCGCAGTATATTTTCAGCAACCCTGTGAGTAGTTTCCCTTAGGGTTTGTAGGTTATTCCGTGCCTACGAAGAACTGTGCTTCTGGACTACGTCTATACAACGCAATTAATTCTTTCCTAAGTTTATGAAGAATTCTTTATAAATAAAGACGTCGTTATCATCGGAAATACATAGGTTTAAACATAGGTGTATCGCTGGCGCGGAACCACGAAAGCGTCATTGTGAACAAGGGACACGCAGTACCAGCTCACAATGAGCCCTCAAAATTGCTTATATCTTCATACGCTCATACGTTCAAAATAAGTTGATGAAAAGAACGCCACTAGCCTTATCTTGGAGCCTTGGGACTGGGGGGGGGGCAGAGTATGGGACTCGAGAAGTGCCACCCTTCCGTTGTAAATCAGTAAAAATATGAATTATATGAACCATCAGAAAAATGATCTAGAAGTTACGGAAATATGTCTTTGCCACGACGTATCACCCAGACACAATCTAACGTAGGAATGCTTGATGGAGTTATCTGTGACCTTGACCCCGTTCCGGCTGTTGAATGGAGCGAAATGAATCGGGTTTTAATCATCCAACGCAAACTAATTCTTCAAAGCTAATCAGTAGTTTGTCTCGGAACACTGTCTACATACCTAAAGGTATGGGACGACAGTGAACTGTTTCCACCAACTGCTCTTTCACGTGACTGTTTGTCATTCATCGGAATGCTTGTGAATTAGGATAGGGAGGAAAATAGGAATATGGTGATGAATCAGGTTAGCTTTTCGAATGATCTTGCAAGTTTTTGGTGTCACGTTTTACAAGACTTACTTAGCGAAATAAAATCATTTGCAAACAATTTTTTTTTTGCGGGAGACTTACCTGGAACCCAGCTGAATCTCCCGTTTATAATGTTTTTTTTTTAACTAAACCAGAGAGAGAAATTTTGATGGTAAACTACTCACAAGGTTGCTGAAAACTCTTCCCTTACGAAAATATACTGCGATATCTCGAATATCGTGCCAACTGAATCATGAGGCGGCCTGTGTGCAGCACATTCAGTCGTAGAATATCATAAACGAGAGATTCAGTTGAGTCTCTCGTGAAAGCCAAATTGATTTGCAAATGAGTGTGTCGAAATTTTGATGGTGTTATCGCCATGTATGGCGCCGAATGAAGGCACTGGGTTAGCTGACAGTGAACGGAAGACCAACTAGGCCTTTACAGGTAGGCCGAAATGGGTGCAGAATTATTTTCGTAAAAGCCAGACACTCATCCATCCAGACATCCTTAGTTACGCACGTCAGGTGTCGTTACATCATAAAACCAGGGCTCCTATGAAAGTCCTCTGATAAGCAACAGCTCCTCAGCTCGCTCGACCTTAGGTTTTGCTTGCGATACTCCGTTTATCAAATCTCAACCAAATGGGCCAAGTGGTTTGGTTGCCATGACACTATCAACAGTCATGTCAACTTCATTCTAAAATTACGTCATTGTTTTCGTTCGCATCTCGGTTAGAAAATGCACGCGCACGAATCCGGCACGAGCGCACTGGAGTGTTGTCATGGTAGTTGGTACAGGATTTCAGAATAAACCTGACAGTCTAGCCGACCTTGACAGCCGCAACATGGTCAGCGACATGACGAAAAAGTACGGAAGTTCCTGCTCTGTCTATCCCGTCGGCTGATGGGTGTTCAAACAAAAGGGGCCAACCAAACACGATGACAACGCGAGCTGATATGCCAGCGCGTCCTAGTTGCTGTGACAATGGCTGGAATGCGTGTATTCCAAATCACCCGATTTTGTGGGTGTTACGAGTCGCAGATGTAGAATTAGGCTTTGTATGCCCTCATGATATATTGTTTGCACTGTGAGCATCCTGTAAGCGTCACAAGCGATGTTGCACGCGCTTTCAATATTGAGTTGACAAGTACTTTCAGTTATATGAAGCGGTAAAATTTGGTTCTCTCCTGGGGGTGTGTTGCGGCGCTCAGTATTCGCACAATGGAATGGGATCTTCGAAAGCTATGACGTGTCCCTGATGGAATAAAGCAATCGGGTAATTGAGCTCAGAGTACCAGTCTATATTTTTGGGCCCCATTTAGGCATCGCGAGTTCTTAGCGATGCCGGGAAATTATTCCACCAGACTTCTGCGCCAGAGGTATGATTGCTTCAGTGGACAATGAAATTTGGCGAGCTGCAAAAAATATGAACGTAGATTAGAATGGTTTGAGCAAATACGCGACAAAATGCAACATTTTGGCGCACAAAGTTTCACTCCGGATTCGGGGCACCCACCGAAAGAGGGAATCAAGCTGATCGATCTTTTTCTTTATATAAATGCGTGACAGCACCACAGTTTACCAGCTCCAGATAGATAAGCTGTTCGTCGGCGGCGATCTGAACACTGGAGTTTCGGAGACCCCAAAGATTCGTCTCACTATCTTAGCAATAAGAAAGATGAACAATGATGAACATTGGATATTGTTGTCGGACATCACTGCTTGCACGGATATTTTTCGTGCCAGTAGGTTTAAGTAAAATGAATGTACCATGCTCACAAATGTCTGTGGATGTTTAGCTAAGCGTTCAGCTGTAGCACCCTTTCGGTGCCTAGCTGCCATGCCATCCGAAGGAAGCACGAGGGCTGTCGGATTCGAACCATGTACCTTCTGGTTAGGAAACTCGCGCTCTAACCACTTGGGCCATCTCGACCCAAGTTAAGTTAAAAGTTCTGTTCAGCATGTCCAGCTGGTACAGTCACGTTTGCAGAGGATGCGGAGAACACGGGAAAGACAGCATTGGATGCGATAACCTAAACAATTTATTGATGTTACATCGCCAATTTTTTTCTGGTAAAACGGTGAGTGAAGGGCCATGAAGTGAAGACAATAGCCTTGATGGATGGCCGCTGTTGGCTGCGTGACAAGGCCATATGTGTCAGGGTCACTAACCACTCGTGTTTCTCGTCGCGTGGTTCCTACACGGGGAGACCGCAGCTCTTAACGGGGTTGAGCTGAAGTTGAACGGGATCGATCGATATATGATACAATCATTCATCATTCGCTGCCTAGTTGCCACGCCACCCAATGGAGGCACGAAAGTTGGGATACTGCCACGTTGCCCAAGCCTAGACAGGGGAAGTCGAGAGGCGGAGGTTGGCTTCGAACCACGGACCTTCCAGTCAGTAAATTCGCGCTCTAACGGTGGACCATCTCGCCCGCCTTCTGGAGTACGCGACTTGACTCTGATCACGCCATCGTGCAGGCCCGGTTATCACTTCGCTTCCCGCCAGCATTACGCGTGCCAACGGAGAGCAGTTCCTGTCCGGAGGCCAGTCACCTCTAATAACCGAGCAGCACCCTACACATGACCAGACGAAATCAACGGTCTTTTGGCATTCGAAATGCAACCTCTAGCCTACGGATTGTGACCAGTTGGTCCATCGAGCGAGAGAGTTGGTTTTCTCAAAAAACCAACCAGGGTACCTCAGCATTACTAATCTAGTGTTCCCATCACCTAAAGGACTACAAATCGCCCCTCACCACATACAAGTAATCCATGTGACCACTATGTACAAAGCAGTATATTGTACACATGCAATAGATCCCCAGTGACTATGTTTGGGGTAATCGAAGAGCGAACAGGGAAGAAGACAGGCTAGGAGAGGGACAATCAGATAACACAAGGGAGGGATAGGGCATGGTCGAGCAAATAGGTCGGACACAATGGGCATGATTGCATACCGATGGGCCAACGAAGAAACCCAAGAATTGATCTGCCTCGAAATCACATCCCACGAGTCTTTAACATTTTCATCTTGGGCATCTTCTTCGCCTTTTCTTTTCTTTGTTCCCGTTCCTGCAGTGGAAAATAGAGTGAAAGAGAACTAACCAGAAAAAGCGGCGTGCGGATGATCTGCTCCTGAATAGACGGTTTTTTTTGGAAGATTAAATGCCAAATCTTGTCATCCAATCTTGTGTTTGTACTATTTTGGTGGAGCGCCACTGCAAGCAAAAATACTAATTTAGGTTCACGACGTTTAAGCGTGAATCGCGTTTGTCATACTCAATCAGTAGAGTGCATTCATCGCTTGCAGTTCACCGAAAAGGGTGCTGTAAGGCATTGCAGGAAGATACTAAGGCCGTTGAGACAGCCCGCGACCGACTTCGCACTTCTTGGGGCTCATCAGATGAACCCTAAGTTCTACGGGATATCCAGCTGGAACTCAGTTGAACATCACGTTAAAACCAAATTAGTGTGCACATGAGTGTATTTCGTCATCTCATGTCCCTCAGCAATCAGTTTATTTAGCCGATGTATGGCTTTTGAGACAAGATAATCCACCAAGCAGTTAGAGGCTTGTTCTGCGTTACGCTTGTGTTGATCAATCTGAAAAAGCGAATATGTAAGTGCTGAAATGGAAGACCTTACACAGGTTTCTAGGAGAGGTGTCGAGCTTCATAAAGCACGAACGGTAGAGTCAGACTGCGAAGTCGCTTGAGCACCGATTTGCTTAGTCCAGGATTCGTGAAACAGCAAGATCGTAATATGTCGTTCGAAAGACTGTCTGTTGGGTTGAGTTAATCGGTTTCCCAAACTGCAACCAATCAGGAGGAATCGAACCTAACCATGGTTCTCGATTGTTACTGTTGGGTTTGTGACCTAGAAGTACTGGAGGTTGATCAGGCGACTGTTGATCTGTTCACCCAGCTTGGTAATCAGCCTGTAAACGTTTCGTCTCCACCGCCGGAAAACGCACCCAATCTATTAATAACACTGACCTGGAAGTAGCTCAGTCACTGTGACTCCTTTGGATAACACGGCAACTAAACTATTCGCTACGAAAGCAGGTATGTGATTCAACCAGTCTTATGCCTTTGGAGTTATGCTCGAACGGGGATCGGAAACGATATCTGATAGGGGATCTGCTAAACCCTTAAAGTGAAGCTTTGCTGCAACCTTAACATTCAACAAAAGTGCGTTTTTAAACTGTGGTCATTAAAGCACACGAAATTCGTCAGTCACATGTCTGGATAGGTTTTTGCGCCAAATATTGTGCCTATCCATTTACAGTCATATCGATGTAGGACACCAAAGCAAAAGGGGTTCAGGGCTGGTGACTGTTTCCATTGGTGAACAAGGAAAATGCAACTGGTTGTCGGGAGAACTGGTGTGCAAAGTGGGTATCAGAAATATGTCGAAATATTAGTAGCTTGAGTACGTTACTTGGTTGTTGACCAGGTGGCTGACAAAACAAACACAAACGGGCCCATCAGGACAAAGTGAAAGAGCTACGGTCCAATCAAACAACACGCAGGCGAAAAGTCTAACAATGAATAAGGTAGGACATAACAAATGCCTCTCAAAGACCATACAAAAGCACGCACACCTGGAGAAGGACGCCTCCTGGTGTGGTGACGAAACTTTTGCATTCCAACTACCAAGCTCCGCGAAAAGATCAACTGACACCCGATCAACAGCCAAGCGCACACTGCTACACAGCATGGCCCTAGAATGAAATGTGCACCGTTAAGGAAGCTCATTTGAGCAGAGGACCTATTCACGCAGCGTTCCAGCATGAGTGACCCACTCACGAATCGTGTTTATGTTTTATAGCGAACGTTTTACGTGAAATTCTAGTACGAACCTGGTTCAGACTGGTCAGTTGAGATCTAATTGGGTGCATCCTGCCGGCTGTAATTCACAAATATACCATGAGTGACGTCATAAGGTGGAGAGATCACAGAGCGTGCGGTCGCAGAAGCAACTCACCTCATTTCAGAGTGGTTATCTGCCATGGTACGCCTTATGGATATTCTGCTTGAACAGTATGAAAACCAAATTGTACCACACTCTTCTACTGATTTGAGAGGAACGACGAATTTACATCGAGAAAAAAGATACTACCGGGGTAGAGGAAAACTGCTCACTGGCGTACAACGGAACGAGAACAGTTTTCCGGTGCAATTCACGTGCTTAGAGCCTCTCGGGTGTCACTGCCAATGGATTATACTATGTTGCTAATGATTTAAGGACTGTCACTCGGAACGTCCAGATAGCGGGCTCACTGTCCCCCTAAGGAAAACGGTGCCTATTCGTTTCAAGGAACAGCCATGATATCGGAGAATCGCATCAATTTGTGCAGGTTTGGTGGGGAAGAGGAATGCAGTTCCAGTACCTACGGGGAGCACGCGATCCAGTGCAGCAGCCACCGCAGGAAGACTTTGAGACTGCAACGGAGAGAGAAAGAGACAGAGCTAAACTATTTCCTAAGGAACTCTTTATCTTGGATGTTGGAAAATCCGAAAAACATGGAGTTCGCAGGCGCTATTGAAAAGCTCTGGAACAAAGGTGGCGCCAGTACGCATTTGCAAGGCTGTCCGTCAACAGGACAAAAACTATGTAGATGCAGAGTAGGCGTCTTGTGTACAGGGAAAGAAGTAGATAGGTAACCGGGTGTTAAACGGGGGCTGGAAAAGACCGAGAGTTTGGATTGATGGACAACAAAACGCGTTTCTACGTTGCCGTGAAAGGCGAGTGAACGGGATTTCACGGATCAAACAAACACTGGGAGCGGAGGAATACACAAACACGCCTTCCAGTGATTGACAATCCTGCTAGATTAAATGACTGTCAACAGAGTGGCGCAGTCAATCGGACAGGGATTCAACCAGGAGGAGAGGTTTCCCGAAAGTTATCGCCTGGATTAATGATCAAAGGAATACAACCATGCCTGGGAGACACTACACATGCATAGGATGCGGCTGTGGGTTCTCGGAAGNGGCTTCTCGGAAGAGCATGTTAGCAATACCAGTCCTGATTTCTGCAAAACGGCTGATACTCAGCCTCGGCAGCCACATTCTACCTTTACACGACCGTCTATGTGTTTCCAATGGCCACTCGATCGATTGAAACCCAGGTGGCCTGAACCAATTGCTCACGGTCATGTTCTTGCTGATACGACCTTCTCCGTTGAGCCTATATCTGTTTGACGCCAAGCACAAGAGCACATGATGCGATATGCAGTTTGGCTGGGCTGCAAACTGTCCCCACTGGTGAGGCGTTGTCATGAGGTCAACCAGGTGTTGGCTAAGTCGAAAATAGTCCATTCTGAAGGATGACGTGGTATCTACCAAACCAGTATTCCGCTGGAGGTCGATAGGATCCACTGAAGCCGAAACACCGTGGGTGGCTACGTTTTCTGGAAGGCTTCCGTCCGTAAAGACCGCTGATAAGTTGGACAGTAGTCAAACTGCCCAAGTCAACAAGTCAATACAAATTACAAGAGAACAAGCTGTTCCTATTACAGATTATCATTTAATGTTATATCCCGGTGTCTCTCTGCCATCAAAAGTATAGTAACTCATTGGAGGGCAAGGTAACCGAAAATATGAGGGAATTAATTACCCAAAAACAAATAATGATGTGCTTTAGGTGCAGCGCCAGGATGAGATAAAACAACACCTACAAGCTTGGTGTAAAGAACTTGTTCAAAAACACCAGAGTTAAAAGCGGTATTCACGCACATCACCCTGACAACTGGACAGCGCTTTTGTAACGATTTGGAATGAGCTGCCCGTGAAATAAGGACTTTTCAACGGAAGAAAATGGACTATTTTCAATCATCGCCATTCGGGCAAACGTCGCCTACGTTTGTTCGGGGCAGACGTGCGACAAAATGAGAAAGTCCAACAATGGGTGTTTAGAAAAGGACTACTGATTGGGAGCACGTACGTTAGGGAGTCTCATTCGTCAGCACCAAGGATGACTGGAGATGACCAGTTGCGTGTCACCATAAGGCGCTTCCGAAAAAAGCGTAGTTAGTCACTACCCCGTCCCGATTACTTCTGCTTCATTTCGACCGGACAAGGACTCTCTTTCATATGGTCGTGGATCAAACCCAGACACGTGGGTGTTGAAAGATGGGTCATTTGTTGTGAAATTAGGCGAAAAAGCACGATGTGAGTGGATTGGATACAACCTTGGAAGGTGAGTCTAGCAAGTGCCGTCGAGAGCACATGTTTACATCTGAGTACACTTTAAATGGACACTTCTTAATAGGAGTGTAGGTGATATTATAAATTTGGGGCGGGGAAAAAATAATGAGTGACGTCATCGTAGGTACAAGAATGGGCTGATATAGTACAACGGTTGAATGAGAGATGGTCTGTCAACACTGTCTCGTGTGACACTTAAGCCCCAAGGCACGAACGCCTTTTGGGGATGTCAGTATCCCCGAAAACCGTTTATTTTTCGAGTTATTCCCAAATTCTTTTTCTAAAATTTTGCGCCTTTTCCGCCATGTTGCCCCTCAATCCAAAAGGACCGCGCCCNACGTTGCTCTCGCTGTAATTCGCTCTTGGTTGAGTAAGTAAAAGCCCTTCTCTGAAGGTCTGGTCCACTCTCTGCGCTAGGACTGATGGGCTCGCGTCATAGCTGGGGGTTTGTGTGCTCGTTCTCAGGTCGCTTAGAGCCGTTGATCGTACCCGCTTCCATACATAACAACGTCACGACCATTGAGGTTACCTGAAGTTGTGGGATATCTGTCTTTCACGCAGAAGTTGCAGTGACTGACAAAGAGTAAAAAAACCACGCTTGAGGCAACCTCACCTCAAGAGATCTAGCAATGTGAAAAAGAGGTATTTGATCTTGTCTTTCGGGCAATGTCTTATCGGGTGGACAAAATGACTCTTAGATAAAAAAGGCCCTCCTTGAAACAGATCCAATGCACAGAGGCCAACTCAAAGGTTAAAACACTCCGATGTTACCGCTCATCAAAGTAATCCAGATAGCGATGATTTAAACAACACACCTCCAGCCTTCGCGCCTTTTCCGGATCCTCTTCTGCCATTATACGCTCTTTGTTCGCCCGGACGCGTTCTTCTCGGCGTGTTTGGGCAGCTTCCTGGCGAAGACTATGTACCGCTTTGAGACGAGTGTCGTAAGCTCGCTGTCTGTTCCGCTCGGACTTCGCCTTTGCCTAAATGAAAACAAAAAACGAGGCGGTAACATTTGGGTCAAGATACATCGAAGCTGGAATGCTTCAAGAAAGCTGATATTTAATCAAATCGCTTGCAATTTTGTCCTCACAGGCACGGATCCTGATAACAGGACTACCGGATTAATAACCGACCAATGGTAAGAAGACATGGGCGGATGCAGATATTTCAAGCTAATTTAGCTACTCACGAGTAACACGGCAATACAAAACATTACGCATGGGAAAAAACCCGATGTGTTCCAACACACGTACGCACCTCTTTGCCCAGTCGAAGTCTATGGACCTTGTCAATCACGTAGAATATGAATTGAAACAAGGGCGCGGCAGCCTCCATGTCCTCTACAGACACCGAACCTTTCGTCCCGACTGAAAAGTACACAGGGGTGTAGACACCGAAATGAAATGACCATAGGGTGGGCGTGAAGAGATATTATGTTGCATGGCGATCGAGCGAGAAGTTGAAGCAAACATGCATGGCGATCGAGAAGTTGGAAGCAAACATACCACGGAATCCGAATATGAGCACTTTCTGTGTGACGGGAAGTTTCGCGGATGGGGTCTCACTAAAACCAAAAATTCAGACAAATTTTAGAGAAGCTACAAGCTAGGTTCGTGTATTCGGCAAACTGTTCAACGGGACGCCAAAGTTTAATGGGAAAAATGGATAGAAGGAAGCGCGCCAACCTTACTTTGCTAATATTTCATCAGTACGGAATCAAGCAAACGAAGACATTTCGGTCAGAACTGTTTACTTCATACTGAGACGGAGTGTTAGGGTATGTTGCCTTTCAGTTTGTACAGGTGGCTTGGCTTGGGGAAAAAACTGGACGCATCGAGGTCTGAATAGCTTCCAGCAAGACTACTGCTTGAAAAAGCCTGCAGAACCCGCTACATTTGAGGACTAATTTGGCTGATCAATCCAACAGAGTTCCTCGTGCCATAAATGCCGCTCACTCATCTGAATAAGCGAGCCCGTCAACTTCCACTGACAGAATTTTGGCACGTCACCGGGTGATCGTAGAGCTCAGGTATCTGGCGAAACAGACAAGACACAGACTAGCACGAATGCTAAACGATGCTGAGGATGGCAGATGTCCCCACGATCTCCAAGATAGTTTGCACACAGGCGACAGTAAACTGGCAGTTCTACAGTTCTACAATTTAACCACATACTGCTTGAATGAGTTCGTCATTATTAACGGTAATGATAGTATAATTTATTTTGGCCACAGAATGGACTTGACGGACTCCTCAAGCGTCGTCACTCAGTCGGGCCTGGCAAGGTAAAGAAGCGCAGCACACTGAAGGCATTCGTAGAAAGTACCGAGATATCTCTAGCGGCCTCAAAGGAATGCAACTGATGTGGTCATGTGTGAGACCAAAAAGTCCCATGCAGTTCTAAGGAATCAAACAGTATCTCCGAAAATTCGTTCAGTAGGGTGGTGTAAATGAACCGTCAAAGTAGCATTCAACGAAACAATCATTGAGCGACTTCTGTACGGTAACGAGGTGACAATCCCAAGTGATGAAATTACATCTCTAGCCTCGCTGGAATTCGATTCTACAACTGCTCGTCACATTTCCACACTGATGAATTTTGTCCTGTTTCTGGATTATAGGCCGAAGCACTGGAATTTCGCCGATCAATCAATACTGTAGTTCGTGTTGCAGCTAACCGGAAAAAAACAGCCACGGGTTGTGAAGAGACACTAGGAGTTGTGGAGACTACAAATTCCGAATAACGGGAGTTTCTATGACCGATTTTTGCGAATGCCCGCGAGCAACGGAAACCAAACGTGCTAACACAACGACTACCGATGTGGCGGGAGTACATCGCGTGAAAACAACTCACAAGGTTGGCACGGCATAATTACGTAACCTACGACGGACGAGTTGGACTAAGTGGTTAAAACGCGCATTTACTGACCAGAAGGTTCGTGGTTCGAACCCGACCTCTGCCTCTCGAATTCCCCTGTCTAGGCTTGAGTGACCCGACAGTATCCCAGCCCTCGTGCCTCCTTCGTGTGGCACAGCAGCTAGGCACTGAAAGGGTGCTACAGCTGAACGATTTTTTTCTACAACAGACGACTCGTATGGTCCGGGATGGTATTCACCAACCTTGAAACGAATAGCCACCAACAACAGGAAAACACGATAGTCAATGGAATGTGGAAATGAGGGAGAAAACGGTCACGGAGAAAGGGCCACATGAGCCAATAAGTTTCATATCGATGCCATATTAATGGTGACTTCGAATTGTCCAAGAACGACCGTCTCCGTTCACTATAGGGTTCAATAAACTCACCACTCACTCGCTCCTATAGTAGTGAACAGGTTGCGCTTCCTGTAACTGCGTTACGAAGATGAGGCCATGCCAAGAAGGCCAAAGAAGAGTAGTCAGACAAAAAACAGCAATGCCCTACTTAGAACAATTGGACGGCGGGGTGGCCTCGGGTTCGAGCCATACTACGCTCCACGTTAACCGCGAATAAGACGAGGTGTGTCCTTTAGGCGGCCAGGAGTTCCATTTTATGGAAGGAGCGGTGTTCTTAGAGCTGAAATATGAGCTGGGGAAAGTCAGTCGTAAAACACGGATACGTTACACCCTGTATCCTTCGGCTAGGCCACCTAATGAAGTTACCCGTCCGAGAGCACCGGGGGGTGCATAAATTTTGCTGGGGGTCTGGTAAAGTCTGCACTGATTGGTGGTTAAGTGTCAGGCATTACAAGGTCCCGATCCTCTTTAACGTCTGAAAATAAGCGACAACGGCAGGGGAGAGGTAGAAGGAGCCTCAAGTAACACACACTTCACCCATCGGGACACTGATGGACAAATATGATGAGTGGACCTGGTTGCGGGTGGTGCCTGAAAAGAGTAACACATGGAGGAAAGGACTCACTCGGGCGGTGGCTTCGGTCCCGTGTATTGATCTGAGAAAAACAGATAGTCTACGCACTCCTCATTGTCAGTCAAGAACTTGCATATCTGCGAAGAGGTAGAAAATACAGCGGTTAGGAGACAAAAGAGGGTGATGCAAGGGGTATGGAAATTTTTTCCACTGACTTACAGGAGCATTAAGCATTGAAGTTGTGGCCTCAGACAGCTCGCTCAGTACGGTTAGAGATTCGGGCAACCCCGGATGCCGTTGTCCTCGCTTATCGGGACAGAAGAATGCCAGGTCTTGATGATCTTTCATCAGCGCCTGCAGACGACGTTTGCGGCCAACCGCCATTACCCAACCGTCCATTTCCGAGTCCTCCATGATAACCTTGGCAACCTAAATGGATAAACCCGAAGGATAGGGTAAATGCACCACTGTTTCAGTGTGCAACAATTATGCTAGCGTATTTGGTTGAAAACTAGACGACTGCTCCAAAAAGATCATCCGAAGAATCCAGGGAAACTTTCGGTCTTTCAGTAACACGGCCTCCTTTGGCCTTTAGTAGGTGGCGCTGCGCGGGCTGTGAGTGCGCGGAACTGTGAGTTTGACAGCTTGGTAGGGTGACTCCTCAATGGGGAGCTCACCTTCTCATTTCCTCATAGTGGAAGGGAGTTTTTGTTTCGGAGGTTCACGCCTCCAGTCAGAAAGTATGTGCAGCAGCCAACTACAGATGGTACATCATTTTGAATCAAACACATAGAGAATTAACTGGTCGTTAGCCCACAGTCGCACAAACAGTTAACCGCGCACCGTTGCACCAAATCGCCCAATGCAAAAATGTAACAACGATGAGGTAAGAGGCAAACATATGACCGTTCTTGGCTAATAATTCCCACGGTTTCAGCTTAGCAAGGTGTGATCAATGGTGGGAGAGTTGGCTAGGCGAGTAATGGGAATTCCCGTTTTTTTGTTTTATACGTTCATCTACCACCTTTTGAGGATAGAAACAATCTTCGAGTGAATTGGCATGGAAAGCGCCGAAATAGGAGTAGAGTCAACATATAAGTGCACTGTAGCACACAACGCGTGTCATCTTCATTAGCTAAGGCTGGTGAAGCCTTCCCTCACAAAAATTACCGTGAGACTCTTGAACTGAGTGCCTCCGGAACGTACATACACCACTGCACACCAACACACGTTTTGCGCGACAGCCGGAAGCAAACGAGATCAGTGTAAACTGAACCGTGTGAAGCACAACAAACAACACAAACAACGAAGTGTTGTCAACTTTGCTTTCCGATCACAGTCAGAAGTGTGAGCAGGAAGTGAAACACGTTTTTAAACGACCATGAGACCACCGACACACCACTGGTATGCGAAATACAGTGACAGAGCAGTCCAGAACAAGGACGCTGATGGGTACGGGTTCGGTGCACAGAATAATCAACCTTAGAAGGTTAAGTGAAATTTAGGCGAGTATAAACAGACGAAGTCTACCTAAAGGCGAGGTATACCTTATAAGCCTGATACGCCAGATGTTGTTCGGCACACTGTGAAATAGGCAAGTGTGTTCAAATACACAACACCATCGGAAAAGACCTGTCGCTCAACACCACCACAAGAAGTATACATGTAGAATTCGAACACCGTCCGAATACACCGGAGATATTAAGAAAACTGGAGCTGTGAACAACTGGATGCTCAATTTCCGTCGGGAGATTTCAGAGAGATGGGAAAACTTCGACGTATACTCGGACAGAAATATGAGATCCATTTTGCGGGTGCACATCTACTCCACTGTGGCTTCAGATCGTAACTGGAGTGTTTGATTGTCTGACAAGTCTTCGAACTGTGTCAACCGCAATGACAGAACCAGTATTCTTTTCATCCGAATCGGTCTGGCCATGCAACTGGCTCAGCGAGGGATCCGGATGCCCTACAGGAATCGGAATACTCATCCACACGTGACCCCAGAAGAAATCCGCCATTCAGACGACGCCCCACGGCACTGGTACCGATTAGCAGTTAGGTCAATCGATACAGAAAGATAAAAACAGAAACGCACGTGCATGCGAACACACTGACGCGGTCTTCATCTCAGAGGGAAAAATGAAGGTCGGTCAATCATAACACCACGACTCGCAGTTTATTTGCATGGATTCACATGGTTGCACAAACGCTCGATAAAGGTCATCCACGGTAGCTATAACACCACACCCTATAATGATGTGTTCCGATCCATGAAACAACTTAATACGCCCACCTGATGGGGATCATGTAGTTGGACTTTTTGGAATCCGAACACATTCCCCCCTGAACAACTTGTTGAATCCTGGGTCTATGGTTGCACAACTGTCAAACCCTTCACGATGATCGACAACCAATCAGCCAAAAACTTCCTACTAGCTGGCAGCAATCAGATGATTATCTGAACCAATCAACAACTGTTTAAACCAAAAAGCATACCAATAAGTTCTGTCCATCCTCACAGCATCTCCGGTGCTGAGAATCGGCACTTCAACGGTGCATACAAAGGAAACTTCAAGTACAGAAAGAGTGAATTTTCAGCAACTTAATAAGAGAAGCTTCAAATGGGGATATGGGCTACTCATAAATGTGGTGTTTCAGTAAACGAATACGGCGTTTCACAAGATAAATTATATTGGTACCAGGGTCTAATAGCATCCAACAGAACAGGGGACTAGACTGTTGTATGACTGGCGGTAGCCCGAATCGTGAACGTTTACATGACATTAGGATGGTTTTGGAAGGATTGTCGGGGAAGGGATGTCCGATACAAAACTTCTACGCAACCTATTGCATAAACCTTGGGAGCAGCGAAACCAGTCAGGATATCTCGGGCCAAAGCATAACATTAGGATCCAACGAGCAGGACAGTATGACCAGAATCAGGTGTTGACACATGCTAAACTAAGGTTCCACGGGACCGGAAGAGGTGTCAGTGTTAGAGGGTAGAGTTCTATAACCCTAATGCACAGCTTCGACAAGGTTTGTCCAGATAATGTTGTGACACAAGTAACGTCCAGATATTTGGCTGAATAAAAATTCAGAACGACCGGATGAAAAACAGGAAGGGACTAAATTGCACTGGAGGGTGACCGCGACGCGCGCCTGTCATGGGGTTTGAAGTGTGAAATGACGTATTTGGTATATTCGATTAAGGGAAATAGTGAGCATAGTAATTCTGAAGTTCATCTTGAAAGAGGTTTGAAGTTGAAGGAAGAACTCGAAAAAATAAAGAGGTCACCACACCAATAAACCGTAAGGGACCCGGTTCTTTATGTAGCAACAGTAAAGAATCGCACGCTGAAAGACGCCCCGGTTGGTCATATTGGGGAAAGTGAAACCACCTGCTTTCCCCCGATCGCATTTACTTAAAAAGCTGCCAAGCTAATTTGCGTCACTTGTGGCGTCAAAACAACATTTCATTGGGTCTCAAGTATGACAAGTTGCAGTAAGGGATGTGTGATATGATTGTGAGACATAGCCTCTGCGGACAGATGATGTTTTCGATTTTGATCACCGACGCCTCAGAAGCGCTGCTGATGCCATATGGGGCCAACAAATTCCTAACGAGCTAATTAGAAAATGGGTATTTGATTATCAGGCGGGTACCTCAGTCACCGACGACATTCAGTACCATCAGCTGCGATGGACCGGCCATGTGCTACGCATGCCTAAGCATTGTCCACCGAGACGAGCGTTGCTCTGTTTGCCACATTCAGAATGGCGCAAACCATGGAGGGGACAACATATGACTTAGTAGAAAATTATGGAAGTGGAGTTTGGGTATTGGTCGTTTGGTACACCTTCCTAGGCTTGCGCGACCTGGCAGTATCCCAGCCCTCGTGCCTCCTTCACGTGGTATGGAAGGTAGGTACCGAAAAGGTGCTGCAGATGAACAATTATTATTATTTATTATTACACCTTCCAGGATGGGGTCCGCGCGGCCCCTACGACGTTTGGCGAGATAGTGCAAGAAATGACAGCTGACCGGCTTCCGTGCTGTCAGTTTCTTTATAGATTGTTAGGTTGAGCACTTGGAGGTGTAGACACCTCAGAATACTTGCAATAGGCTGCCACCAGATCCCCTCCCTCGCCCACTCTTTTCACTTGAAGGTTTAAATATAAGTAGATAAACTTTGTAGTTGCACGGCAGTGGGGCATCAATGTCAACAATGACGTTTCTGTGGCTGGTGGTGATTATGACTACATGACTGAAGGATAGTAAGAGAGCAAACCTTATACACGGTGGGTACACCCAGAAACGGAGATCAAATGCAATGCGTACTTACAATGGTGTCGTAGGCAGGTTGAAACCAGTTGGCCAGTGTGAATACAAGACACTGTCGCTTGAGTAATCGCAGTTCGACCAACATGGCATCGCAGTAGGCACGACCAGAGCACCAAAGCGAATACAAGTGTTCCGATTCCTTTAAAAGCGTACCAGACCCGGGCTCAGCCTGTCCATCGTCTCCTGAAAAGGGACAGTGAAGTGAAGTGCACCATTGGGACCACGGGAAGGGAACACAATACATCACGAGGGTGCATCTACATTCACTCTCACCACGGAATGCAATTCGGTCATTTCGCATGAAGCTACAGCCAGAAGCTACAATGAGATTGGGGACCGCGGAGTGTATACTGAGTGTATACAGGACACAAGATTCATTGGCATCCGATTCACTTTAGACAAGCGTGTCAGCAAAACATGCTGACGGTTCAGTGAAGCAAACTAAGACCACTACTAAAACATATATAAGATTTCCATAAGTGAAGTCCCCTTCCCAACAGGAAGAAAACGAAGCAGGGCACTTTTTCGCCTTTCCTGGTGCGATGTGTTCCCTTCTGATATCGGAGATCTTTTTTCACTCTCCAAGAACTACACTTGGTTTTAACAACGGTACCGCAGCTGAGTCACTTTTTTTTATGGTATTCTTCAACAGGATGCGGTGCACAGAGACAGTCTTATAGGACGATATTCAGGACATCACAGTGCATTGTCTAGAAGGAGAACACTATGCACGAGTTTGCTGTCAAAAAGCTTTCAGCAACAGCACAGAGGGTTTCTCTCGTACATTGTCAAGCAAGGACTGGGTGTCTTAATCCACCACGTTGAATTATGTTTAGAGAGCGCGTCACCGGGTTTACTGCTTGGACGATGCCCTCAGGTAAAAAACGTTCGCCAGTAAGTCGCCGACCTTTCGAACTGGAGGAGACATGAGATGGTCCCCTGAGGTATAAAATACATGCTCCCTAGCTTGATGGTGCTCACTTGCAGCACCAGGTTGTAGGATGCCCACTTAACACGTTACCCAATGTTTGTGAGAGAACGCTTCGAAAGCATTTACAAGTGTGAGGAGTGTGAACAATTCGATAACCTTTGGAGGACATCTATTCGAAAATGAAACAAATAGCGGGTGACGCAGTACCACAATACATCGGGTACGATAACGCACAGGAAACGCCCTAATACGGTATGCGTTGTTGTTTGCAGATCCTCACCAACGAACATGGCCTAGAGCGAAGAAACCATGAGTGACCCTTTGGGATGTTTCCCATGAAACAACATCAGGCGGGTTGCAGTGAAAGCGGCACACAAACCCATCCCACTCACCAACCATAGCAAACTGGGTTTCCAGTATTGGTTTGTGCGCGGCGAACCAGGCAGTTGCCAACTGTGTGTTCTTGGATCTTCCAATGAGGAAGTTGGAAAAGTAGATGACCAACATGGAGATGAAAAGCATTTCCAGGTAGTAGCTGTCCCAGGAACCTCGAAGATGACGCGGGATCTGGAAGTGGGAGAATGAAAGGGAAGCCGAATGGCATTTGCTCAAACAAACGGTTACTTGTTGATTCAGTGGTCCCTGATCTGTTCGCCAGGGTCCACAGATGGGTCCACAAATGGCAAACGCGTCCAGGCAGACCCAATAGCAGACCGCTTTAGAAGTACGATTTGATAATTCGAAATCATGAAACTGTCCACTGTTATAAAATATAATTCAAATCATCCGAAGACTTCCTACATTATTTTGTGGACACGCATCACCCTAAGGTTTACAAAGTGGCCCTTTTACGAGACATCATTTGCCTGTGCTCCCGAAGAATACTCACAAGACACGATCAATCAGCTCATAATCGATAAAGTGCGAGGAGTAACGCCTATTATTGCAAGAACGGCTGCTATTCACGAAGGACTTTGAGGAAATTTGAAGTTTTGTCACCGAGCCAAAAGACAGCTGAGAGGGTGACGCAGCACCTCTGCTAACTACGTACAGCAACTGAGCTGAAGCGATGGTTCTCAACTTCTTTAGTTAGATACCCTGCTCCTAGCAGTTGGGATACAGTCCTTATCCTTGTTCGACGCCACCTGTCCGAGAACATACGTTTCTCTCTGTTTGTTATGGGTTCATGTTGGTGTTGGAGAACGAGTAAAGTAATCGTTGTGTGCTCAAAGCTAGGCAAAATGGAGACTAACACGGAAGGGTCATTTAACAACCAAATGGCACCAGTAACCATCAAATTCTCTTGGGGCGGTTTCTTCGGTAGGGACCACTGCGGACGTCCACTATCAATTGCGGGTTTCAACAGTGTAAGGATCACACTGAGTACGGTAATGCTGGCATGGACCAAAGAGGCTGAAAGGCCTTTTGGGATGGAGAGTCAGAAGGGACGGCACATTAGCTGCTGGTTTGTTCGCTGAGCTGGGCAATTTGATTGCAAACGTCTCAGCACCAATCAAGGTAACATCATCAGTGCGTTGTTGGAGAGAGTAGCGATGGGTTGGTGGTAGACCATGGGGTCGTGCCGTTTGCGAATGCAGCCCAAAGCGGGTGGCACGAGTCCGATAGCAAAAAAGCACTGTGATGGAGATTTGCAAAATACCGTGGAGAGAGAGAGAAAGAGAGGGAGTAAACAGTGCGTGAAACCGTTCGGGGGTGAACGGATGGAGTTGATCTGTTAGCTCTGTGGATTCAGCTGGTGAGCGCCGTTTGAGCTTGGTCAAATTGGTTGATACTCGGGGTTTGTGTAGCATCGGGTGGGGATGGGCGATGCACGTATCATAGATTACGCGCCCGGGTTTTTTGGGACCAGCTTACCGGTTCACTTTCGCACAGCGTTCACCACGACAACTTCCGGTGTTGTATTTAGGTAGAGCAGCAAAAGCGTGAGTACGGAGGTGATGCGTTATTCTGTCGAAAGAATATTCCAAGATCATATGGAAAATCAGTGCAACATTCCTTAGAACTTGGGGTGTTGTATTTAGGTAGAGCAGCAAAAGCGCGAGTACGGAGGTGATGCATTATTCTGTCGAAAGAATATTCCAAAATCATAGGGAAAATCAGTGCAACATTCCCCAGAACTTGGATGTCTGCTACTGGCATGAAAGCAGGAACTTCGAGATGAAGACAGCACACAGTTAGTCAACGTAAACCAAGTACTTCCAATATGAGATCGGATATAAGCGCAGCTCGTAACAGATGGATGAACTGGAATAATCCATGTCACGATGCAAGTTGAGTGCATGAATCTGGTGCGCTCACTGGGCTCGGGAATTCCTTGGCAAAGTTTCAGGGACCATTAGGGTAATTTTATCAGTGAGTAGCTGCGTCACGAAGTGACATGCAGACACTATTTTACATGACATGGGTATGCAGGATTGCCTGATCGTCTTCTCCTCGTACGGTTTCCGCAGACAACCGGAGAGAGAGAGAGCGCGCGCGGAATAAGGAAAAATGGATTGAGGTTGGATAAGTTACGATACAACAATTCTAGTGGCACCAGAAAAAAACACACATGACAAACACTACCTACCTTTACCACCTTCAGATCAGAATGAGCCTCTTTGGATTGAGCGGTAGGCCGATCCACAGGGTCGGAAGGTGATGGAATGTCTTCAAACTCATCATCATCTTTTATAACGACATCCTCGAATTCATCGGACTGAAAAATGAGGACGACGAGCACTGTAATTACCAGAGAAACGGTGTAGAATGGATGAACCCTTTCATCTGTGTTGTGCGTACAGAATCCAGCCGCTTGGTTGCACACAGTTTTCCGACTGGTGTAACATGGAAGTGTGTGATCTTAAGGTACAAAAAATGTGAGAAATAACTATCGCCAGAACTAGATTCACTGATGTCGACTGTGCTGTTCACAGCTGTAGACAAGAATCTGTTGTTATATTCCCAAAGTTTTGCATACCCACATCAACTGAATAAAAGAAAGACTCAGCACCGAACAAATGAATTAAACCAGAATATGTGGAGATAAAAGCTACCACTAATACGAACAAGACATAAGCGGATCAGGTTTGGTTGAACGCCAGTAGTTCAGCGGAAAAATATTTTAAAAATAATCGTTCAGCTGTTTCGTTGTCTAGCTGCCACGCTACCCGAAGCACGGATGAGGTCTGAGGTACTGCCAGGTTGCCCAAGCATACACAGGAGCAATCGAAACGTCGGGATTGCGTTCGAACCACGGACCTTCCAGTTACTACGCTCGCACGATGATCAGTGCAATCTCGGTCGACGAAACCGAGACCATCTGACCAAGAGAAAGTACCTCTAATCGCTCACTACCATGCCGTCATTAAAACGTCGATTGCAAATAAAGCGACGGTCTATGAAATCTCGTCTGGTGTAGACTCGCGGGACCGCAGTGAATTTGGTCTTCTTGCTAACTGATGAGCAAGCAGGAAATCTGAAAGGCTGACAAACTAATCAAACGGCCGCCAGTTTACAGAGAACTGTTGACTCCGAGCTTCATCGCACTGCAAACGTGTTTGATTCAGCCAGAGCATGTATCGTCAACATTCATCTGATCAACGGAGGACAAGTTCCCCTGGCAAAAAAGGGAGCTGAAGAGTCTGAGACACTGCGGCTCTGTCTTAAGAAGTGAGGGATGCATGTTAAAGATTATCCTGTGCATCATCTACTTGGAAGGGGTGTTGTTTGAAGTAAACCGATCAGTGGGCAGATCCCATAGGTGAGGAGGCCGTTTGTATTAGGAAACCGGAAGAAAGTAACCTATACGCAGAAAACAAACCTACTTCCACTGTTGCATCCGTGTCACTTTTCATCCTGTCCGCTTCTGTCAGGGGTACCGGCTTCCTATTTACAAGCAGCATACCATCGTCCACTTCGCTCGAAACAGACGCGTCCAACGGCTGCCCCGTTACCTCTGAATCTTCCTGAGAGCCCTCTGAATCTTCCTGAGAGCGGGTCCCATCCGTTTCCTGGTCGGGCGGGGACTTTGGAATTGAACTTTTTGGTACAGCGGACGAGATATCCGCGGTGATGTCAGATGTGAACGCTAAGACAATATGGAAAACTGGAAGTCAGTTGGAGTGAGTCATTTGCAGAATGACTTTATGTTCCAGAGCCAGTCAGAGTTAATGCGTAAGCGAAACATAACCATACTGAAATGACGAACAGAGTGCTCAACGAAGTCTCCGATAAGCTTCAATAAAATGACATTAAAAACTATCATCACACTGGTCTAGCTGAAGCTTCCTGATCGACGCTGATTCCTGTTCATGAAGTATCCTCCACAAGAAAAGTCGTTCGAAACCGTGTTAGCTGTACCGGAGCACAGCGGTGTCAATTGGTCATGTGCAAAACAAACCAGCAAGGATATGTTAAAACTGTCCTCCATTAGAAGAGGCCCTTCAAGGGACCGACGAAGTGGTCTTCCCTGGGAGGCGGCCCCTTCTTGAACAGGTTAACTCCCCTCTACTTTGAAGACGACTGTACTTAATGGACACGTTATTGGATGGCGTTGATGATAAACGGAAGCGACGTTATTTTCTGAGAACACGGAAGCAGCAATCAGTTCATGACACCTGTTTTCGACACGATACACTCTGATCGTATAACGGGCGAAACGGACTACTAGTTTGGCGCCATAACATCCATTTGTCTGTTTTAATTATAACTTCAATGGCCATTCACGTTGAAAACCAATGAACCAAAAATATGCCCTGACACCAGCAGCAGTCACCTCACCATCTTGTCAATCAGCCCGCCTCTGGCAAGACGTTGATTGAAGTGATGATTCAATGAATGTCATGACAGTACGTCACAATGAGGTCATTTAATATGACTGCGACAAGTCACAATGCGCTGTTCATCCGTAGCGATGATGCTACTTCTGTCAGTTCTCCCGTGATCATCTCGGCATCATTGCTGAGCTCTAGCTATCTGTAGCTGCAGCGTTACAGATATGGCATAGATTTTTGTTCTGTCCTGACAACCGCACTACGCCAGTCAGTTTACCACCGTTGACAGGTCATATGCATTACCAATGCATCCACCAGCGATCTTCTAACTATTTTCCTAAGGCTTAAGGTGTTGGCTTGTGATTGCTGCTTGTTTAGGGTGAAGTGAGGAATTAGAAATCAAAAGTGAATCTCCGAGCGTGGGACCCTAGATAGTACTTGAGAAGTTCCTATTGTGAACAGTGGAAAGGGTCGGTCGATTCGAGGGGTTCGTTCCAGAAAAACAGCTAAGGCTTGCACTCATTTTTAATACCTGTTTACCTCATCGAAGTAATGATGAACTGATAGGGAACCTGTCATTCGAGGGCTGAGCTGGACAGTCTAACACCGAGTGCGGAAGACAGATAGTCTACCCAGAAATTCTCTCCCAGGTCCAGTGAGTCAATACAGATGCCGAAAATTCAGACATACCAAGGACATTTCCTGAGGAGCATCCGTAATTTGTCAGCACACGAAGATCGAGATGCAAGAGAAGCGTAATAAAAACTCCCCCCTGCAAGGGTTACCAAACCTGGGATCGACCGAAATGGAATTCAAGAACAAATTAGCCTCAAATGAATCTGGTGAGTCAATTGTGTGGGAAATACGTCACAAATGATATTGAGTGACTGGTTCTACGGGAAGTGTACAACTGGAACCAACGGTCGACAGGCGTAAGCGGAAGCTTTGCGGCGGACCACTGTGAATGGATAGTTGAAATTTGATAGAACAAAGGAGCCGGGTTACCCTCGCTCACAAAATAGCCGAGGGACAGCAAGTTATGCTGCAACCGTCAGTATAAAGTTCGCAAGACACGCGAAACTACACTTAGCTGGATGACAGAGAATTCCCATTACCAGAATAGAGTAACCGTGCGCACCCTATTTCAGTACACAAACAGGCTAGATACTATCGATAAAACATGATAAAACTAAAAGATGTAATGAGCATCAATCCAACTGGTACGTTCTAAAATCCTTGTATAAATGTCAAATAGTTGAGATTTTTGCACATTGACAACTCACTATCATCTGGGTCAGTGAATTCGGCGAACTCATCTTCAGTCAATGAGGCCAATCCGTCCACACCAGGAAACTGAAAAAACAGTCCCGTGAGAAGTAACCATATGAAGTGGATTGGTATATCCAACTGGGACTTGACAAACGACTTCAGCATATTACGCGACTTGCTGGCTGCAAACAAGAAGTTTTGCGTTAGTCTACCATCAGTTTGATCTACGGCTGCAAACGGTAGGTACATTTTGGATACTGTGGATTCATGGCCCAAAATGTAAGAGCAGGTTGAATCTCACATCAAGCAAACGGCCGTACACTGACATTGCATGTAAGGTCTAGATAAAGACCACCGAATGCATAATCTCTATCTAATCCCTTGAATGCACTGTGTTGCACATGTTGGTTTTGGCCTGTTCTAGGTTTCACAGCCATTTATTTGCTCTAAACGGTACGCGGTCGGTCTCATATGATTTAGGGGTGATTAAATGAAACTAGTCCACACGATAGATACAACCGGGTAGCGTAGCTTTCACATTTTTGACGCCGCGGTCAATTTTATCACCACAGTGGTACAGCAGACATCAGGGTCTATTAATCCGTGGTATTATGGCAGTGAAATGAACCACAATTACACGAGAAAAAATCATCGTGTTGGTCTAGTAGCGAGTGGCATTATGCGCGTCAATACCGGTCTTGTCATCAGTGGGGCAACAAAGGTTTCTGCCGTACCCAAACAGCCACAGTAACCAAAACCCAAAAGAGCGTCAAGAGTTTAATCAGCAACACAGTCAGAAAGCAGTCGTACAAAAAAACGTCCGCAATCCAAATCTGTTTGTAACATTCCAAGTTGAATTTGAGTTCCGAAAGAAATAGCTTAGTTTTTGCCAACATCTCAATCCGTAATCAGCTCGACACAGTTACATTTTTTACGTTGATCTCACGTTCCATTTAGAAGTTGACAAGAAAACCTGTTGTATAATTCACAAATCGTAGGGCCGAGAGTACATCTGGCTATACCCTACTACTGACTGGCAAGTTAACCTGTCAAAAAAAGTTGCGCAACTGTAGCGCCCTTTCGGTGCCTAGATGCCATGCCACCAAAAGGAAGCATGAAGGCAGGGATACCGCCGGGTTATCCAAGCTCAGAGAGAGAGGAAGTCGAGAGGCAGAGGTCGGGTTCGAACCACAGACCTTCCGGTCAATAAATTCACGCTTTAACCACGGAGTCACATTATGGATGTGATACTCAGCAAGCTGATACTATGATAATCCTCACAAACTGTTGTCATGGGATATCGGTAGTAGTGTGGAGGTACATTGCGTCACAGGGAATACTCCTCACGTTGATAAGAAAAGATTGTGAAGAAGTTTAGGGTATTCCGGCACACAGGCCTTGTTGATTTCTGTTGGGATACTACCCTTTCGTTCTTTAGTAGCTCGGTTATTTCGGCTAACTCACTCTGGATAGAGGCATCGAAACTGATGGAGTACTGCTTTATGGATAAGAAACATGGCCTCTACAAGCAGACGGCATAAGAAAACTGATATTATTTGACCATCTGTGTCTCCAAAGCGTTGAGCGGGTCTGGTGATAAAATCGGGTTAGCAATGTTGAGGTCGTCATCATTATTATCAGCCGTAAGGACCGCGTACTTGTCGTTCAGTGGTTGTAGCTGCCACAATTTCATCCATCGATTTGGGGAGGTAAGGTGAGCAGCCTCGCATTGGAGAACTGGAAATTGATACATTGCTGCATAACTACAGGTCTGTCGGTGGACTTTTAACTGGAGGGATAGGGAAGAGAGCTATGCATTGAAGTCAATAGTTTCGATGCATGAGCGCCATTGAGGGCGCGATTGGGCCATGTTTGACAATGTCTCCAACCAGTGATATTGACAGTCGCCTCTGTGTGGTTCGTTTGGCAACATCGGTGAGAGAATCTAGAGAAAGTGAGGTTCATCGCACCTTGTTTATTGTTTCTGATTACGCCCCAACTGACTAGCTCTGAATCTGCCAAGGACAGTTTCTGTGACGCTCTAGGTGCCCTTCTACAACAGGCTAAAAGTTCAGATATCGTTGTGGTTGCCGGTGATATGAACGCCCAGGTAGGTAGACTAAGCGCTGCTGAAGCCCGATTGGGT